AAAAAATTAAAAAAAAAATCCCAAAAAAATCCCAAAAAATCCCAAAAAATCCCAAAATATCCCAAAATATCCCAAAATATCCCAAAAATACCCAAAAATCCCAATCCCGTTTTGTGCTGTTCCCCATCCCGATCCGCGCCGGCTCCCGGCGCATTTCCCACTGTGCGGAGACCAGAATATCCCAAAATATCCCAAAAAAATCCCAAAAACTCCCAAAGAATCCCCAAAAAATCCCATAAAAAATCCCAAAAATCTCCCAAAAAATCCCAAAGAATCCCCAAAAAATCCCAAAAAAAAATCCCAAAAAATCCCAAAGAATCCCCAAAAAATCCCCCAAAAAAATCCCAAAGAATCCCCAAAAAATCCCCCAAAAAAATCCCAAAAATCTCCCAAAAAATCCCAAAAATATCCCAAAATATCCCAAAATATCCCAAAAAAATCCCAAGCCCGTTTTGTGTCGATCCCCATCCCGATCCGCGCCGGCTCCCGGCGCAATTCCCGCTGTGCGGAGACCAGAATATCCCAAAATATCCCAAAAAAATCCCAAAAAAATCCCAAAAAATCCCCAAAAATCCCCAGAAATCCCCAAAAAATCCGCAAAAATATCCTCAAATATCCCCAAAAATCCCCAAAAATCCCAAAAAAATCCCAAGCCCGTTTTGGGGTTGATGCCCATCCCGATCCGCGCCGGCTCCTGGCGCAATTCCCACTCTGTGGAGACCAGAATATCCCAAAATATCCCAAAAAAATCCCAAAATATCCCAAAAAATCCCCAAGAAAGATCCCAATCCCGTTTTGTGCCGATCCCCATCCTGATCCGCGCCGGCTCCCGGAGCAATTCCTGATGTGCAGAGACCAGAATATCCCAAAAAAATCCCAAAAAGTCCCAAAAAAATCCCCCAAAAAAATCCCAAAAATATCTCAAAAAATCCAAAAAATATCCCAAAAAAATCCCCAAAAATCCCAAGCCCGTTTTGTGCCGATCCCCATCCCGATCCGCGCCGGCTCCCGGCGCAATTCCCACTCTGTGGAGACCAGAATATCCCAAAATATCCCAAAAAAATCCAAAAAAATCCCAAAAAATCCCAAAAAATCCCCAAAAAAATCCCAAAAAATCCCAAAAAATCCAAAAAATATCCCAAAATATCCCAAAAAATCCCAAAAAATCCCAAAGAATCCCCAAAAAATCCCCAAAAAAATCCCAAAAAATCCCAAAAAAGATCCCAATCCCACTTTGAGGCCAATCCCCATCCCGATCCGCGCCGGCTCCCGGCGCAATTCCCGCTCTCGCCGCGCTGCCGCTCCGTCCGTGCGCCCGCGCCGGCCCCTTCCCGTCGGCTTCTCCCGCGCCGCCGCCGCGCAATTCCCGGATTTGGGAAGAGTTTGGGAATTCCCAGGTTCCGGAGGGGCTCTGTGCCAGCTCGCCCAGCCTCGCCAGCCCCGCCGAGGGCCGGAGCGCGGCGCATTCCCGGCGCACTCCGCCTCCCAGCCGGCACGGCGCCTGCAGGCGCCACAGCGGGACGGTAAGGCCGGAATTCCCGCCGGGATGCCGCGTCCCGAGCAATTCCCCAATCCTCCAAAATTGTCCCGTTAGAGGAATTCCCCATCCTCCAAAATTGTCCCGTTAGAGGAAATCCCCATCCTCAAAATGGAGCCCAGTGGTGGGAGCCTCTTCCCGGTGGGATTCGGTGTCCGGAGGAATTCCCAATCCACAAAAAATTGTCCCGTTAGAGGAATTCCCGATCCTCCAAAATGGATCCCGGTGGTGGGAGCCTCTTCCCAGTGGGATTCAGCGTCCCAAGGAATTCCCAATCCTCCAAAATGAGCCCATTAGAGGAATTCCCAATCCTCCAAAATGAGCCCGGTGGTGGGAGCCTCTTCCCAGTGGGATTTGGCGTCCCGAGGAATTCCCGATACTCTAAAATTGTCCCGTTAGAGGAATTCCCAATCCTCCAAAATGAGCCCATTAGAGGAATTCCCAATCCTCCAAAATGAGCCCGGTGGTGGGAGCCTCTTCCCAGTGGGATTCGGCGTCCAGAGGAATTCCCCATCCTCAAAAATTGTCCCGTTAGAGGAATTCCCCATCCTCCAAAATGAGCCCATTAGAGGAAATCCCCATCCTCAAAATGGATCCCGGTGGTGGGAGCCTCTTCCCAGTGGGATTCGGCGTCCCGAGGAATTCCCCATCCTCAAAAATTGTCCCGTTAGAGGAAATCCCAAAAATTTGGCATCTGGAGGAATTCCCGATCCTCCAAAATGGATCCCGGTGGTGGGAGCCTCTTCCCGGTGGGATTCGATGTCCCAAGGAATTCCTAATCCACAAACATTGTCCCGTTAGAGGAATTCCTGATCCTCCAGAATGAGCCCAGTGTTGGGAGACTCTTCCCAGTGGGATTCGGCATCAGGAGGAATTCCCCATCCTCAAAAATTGTCCCATTAGAGGAAATCCCAAAAATGCAGCATCCGGAGGAATTCCCAATTCTTAAAAATTGTCCCGTTAGAGGAAATCCCAAAAATTTGGCATCTGGAGGAATTCCCGATGCTCAAAATGGATCCCAGTGGTGGGAGCCTCTTCCTGGTGGGATTCGGCGTCCCGAGGAATTCCTGATCCACAAAAATTGTCCCGTTAGAGGAAATCCCAAAAATTTGGCATCAGGAGGAATTCCCAATCCTCCAAAATTGTCCCGTTAGAGGAATTTCCAATCCTCAAAAATGAGCTCATTAGAGGAATTCCCAGTCCTCAAAATGGATCCCGGTGCTGGGAGCCTCTTCCCGGTGGGATTCGGCGTCCCGAGGAATTCCCGATACTCCAAAATTGTCCCATTAGAGGAATTTCCGATCCTCCAAAATTGTCCCGTTAGAGGAATTCCCGATCCTCAAAATGGATCCCGGTGGTGGGAGCCTCTTCCTGGTAGGATTCGGCGTCCCGAGGAATTCCCGATCCTCCAAAATGAGCCCAGTGCTGGGAGCCGCTTCCCAGTGGGATTCGGCGTCTGGAGGAATTCCCGATACTCCAAAATTGTCCCGTTAGAGGAAATCCCAATCCTCAAAAATTGTCCCATTAGAGGAATTCCCAATCCTCCAAAATGAGCCCGGTGTTGGGAGACTCTTCCCGGTGGGATTCGGCATCAGGAGGAATTCCCCATCCTCAAAAATTGTCCCATTAGAGGAAATCCCAAAAATGCAGCATCCGGAGGAATTCCCAATCCTTAAAAATTGTCCCGTTAGAGGAAATCCCAAAAATTTGGCATCTGGAGGAAATCCCGATGCTCAAAATGGATCCCGGTGCTGGGAGCCTCTTCCCGGTGGGATTCGGCGTCCCGAGGAATTCCCGATCCACAAAAATTGTCCCGTTGGAGGAAATCCCAAAAATTTGGCATCCGGAGGAATTCCCAATCCTCAAAAATGGATCCCGGTGGTGGGAGCCTCTTCCCGCTGGGATTCGGCATCCGGAGGAATTCCCAATCCTCCAAAATTGTCCCGTTAGAGGAATTCCCAATCCTCAAAAATGAGCTCATTAGAGGAATTCCCAGTCCTCAAAATGGATCCCGGTGGTGGGAGCCTCTTCCCAGTGGGATTCGGCGTCCCGAGGAATTCCCAATCCACAAAAATTGTCCCATTAGAGGAATTCCCAATCCTCCAAAATGAGCCCGGTGTTGGGAGACTCTTCCCGGTGGGATTGGGCGTCCCGAGGAATTCCCCATCCTCAAAAATTGTCCCATTAGAGGAATTCCCAATCCTCCAAAATGAGCCCGGTGTTGGGAGACTCTTCCCAGTGGGATTCGGCATCAGGAGGAATTCCCCATCCTCAAAAATTGTCCCGTTAGAGGAAATCCCAAAAATGCAGCATCCGGAGGAATTCCCAATTCTTAAAAATTGTCCCGTTAGAGGAAATCCCAAAAATTTGGCATCCGGAGGAATTCCCAATCCTCAAAAATGGATCCCGGTGCTGGGAGCCTCTTCCCGGTGGGATTGGGCGTCCCGAGGAATTCCCCATCCTCAAAAATTGTCCCATCAGAGGAATTCCCAATCCTCCAAAATGGATCCCGATGGTGGGAGCCTCTTCCCGGTGGGATTCGGTGTCCTGAGGAATTCCCAATCCACAAAAAATTGTCCCGTTAGAGGAATTCCCGATCCTCAAAATGGATCCCGGTGGTGGGAGCCTCTTCCCGCTGGGATTCAGCGTCCCGAGGAATTCCTGATCCACAAAAATTGTCCCGTTAGAGGAAATCCCCAAAATTAGGCATCCGGAGGAATTCCCGATCCTCCAAAATGGATCCCGGTGCTGGGAGCCTCTTCCCAGTGGGATTCGGCATCCGGAGGAATTCCCAATCCACAAAAATTGTCCCGTTAGAGGAAATCCCAAAAATTTGGCATCCGGAGGAATTCCCAATCCTCCAAAATGGATCCCGGTGGTGGGAGCCTCTTCCCGCTGGGATTTGGCGTCCGGAGGAATTCCCAATCCTCAAAAAATGTCCCGTTAGAGGAATTCCTGATCTTCCAAAATGAGCCCGGTGTTGGGAGCCTCTTCCTGGTGGGATTTGGCATCCAGAGGAATTCCTGATCCTCCAAAATTGTCCCATTGGTGGAATTCCCAATCCTCAAAAATCCTCCCATTTTTGGGATCCACTTCCCACTGGGATTTGGGATCCAGTGGAATTGCCAATCCTCACAAATCTCATTTTTGGGATCCAGTTCCCACTGGGATTCAGCATCCGGAGGAATTCCCCATCCTCAAAAATTGTCCCATTGGCGGAATTCCCAATCCTCAAAAATGCCATTTTTGGGATCCTGTTCTAAGTGGGATTCGGCATCCAGAGGAATTCCCAATCCTCAAAATCCTCCCATTTTTGGGATCCAGTTCCCAGTGGGATTTGGCGTCCAGAGGAATTCCCAATCCTTAAAAATTGTCCCATTGGCGGAATTCCCAATAATCAAAAATCCTCCCATTTTTTGGAGCCTCTTCCCACTGGGATTCTCCATCCAGAGGAATTCCCAATCCTAAAAACGATTTCGTCTTTGGGATCCACTTCCCATTGGGAGTCTCCATCCGGAGGAATTCCCAATCCCCAAAAATCCTCCCATTTTTGGGATCCGCTTCCCAGTGGGATTTGGCATCCGGAGGAATTCCCAATCCCCAAAAATCCTCCCATTTTTGGGATCCGCTTCCCGCTGCTGCTTCCCGCTGCTTCCCGCTGCTCCCGGCTCGATGTTGGATCCGTGGGAATGTCGAATCCCATTCCCGACGGACGCCTCCGGCTTTGGGACGTCTCCATCTCCCCCCTCCCCGTATCCCGAATTTCCTGGCGTGGCATTCCCAAAAAAACCGAGCCTGGAACGGATTTTCGGGTTCCTCCTCACGCTCCTGCCTTGGGATCCCGCCCGGAATTCCAGAGGGGGATTTTTCCAGCTGGTTGTGATCCCAAAATTCCTCTGGGAGTTGGGACGCTCCGGCTGTGGCTGCCTCTCCTTGCTGGAAACCGAATTTCCTCATTTTTTCCCTATTTTCCCCTCCTTTTCCCCGTTTCCCCCAATTTCCCCTTGTTTTCCCTCCTTTGCCCCAGTTTTTCCTATTTTCCCTACTTTTCCCACATTTTCTCTCGTTTTCCCCCATTTTCCCCCATTTTCCCCCATTTTCCCCCATTTTCTCCAATTTTCTCCCATTTTCTCCCATTTTCCCCCATTTTCCCCCATTTTCCCCCTGTTTTATCCCATTTTCTCCCATTTTCTCCTCTTTTCCTCTTTCCCTCCCATTTTCTCCCATTATCCCCCATTTTTCCCCCATTTTTCCCCATTTTCCCCCATTTTCCCCCATTTTTTTCCCATTTCCCCCCATTTCCCCCCATTTCCCCCCATTTTCCCCCTGTTTTATCCCATTTTCTCCCATTTTCTCTTTTCCTCTTTCCCTCCNCTCCCATTTTCTCCCATTTTCCCCCATTTTCCCCCATTTTCCCCCATTTTCCCCCATTTTTCCCCCATTTCGCCCCATTTTCCCCCTGTTTTATCCCATTTTCTCCCATTTTCTCCCATTTTCCTCTTTCCCTCCCATTTTCTCCCATTTTCCCCCATTTTCCCCCATTTTCTCCCATTTTCCCCCATTTTCCCCCATTTTCTCACATTTTCTGACATTTTTTCCCATTTTCTCCCATTTTTTCCCGTTTTCTCCCATTTTCCCCCATTTCCCCCCATTTTCTCCTATTTTCTCCCATTTTCCCCTATTTTCTCCCATTTTCTCCCATTTTTTCCCATTTTCCCCCATTTTTCCCCATTTTCTCCCATTTTTTCCCATTTTCTCCCATTTTCCCCCATTTCCCCCCATTTTCTCCTATTTTCTCCCATTTTCCCCCATTTTCCCCCATTTTCCCCCATTTTCCCCCATTTTCTACTTTTTTCCTCTTTCCCTCCTTTTCCCCTTTTCCCCATCCATTATTTCCCTCTTTTCCCATTTTCCCCTTTTTTCCCTTTTCTGCCCTTTTTTATTTTTCATCCCAAATTTCCCCATTTTCCCCCATTTTCACCTCCTTTTCCCCATTTTCCTTCTTTTTCTTCTTTTTTCTCCTTTTGCTCCTTTTACCCCTCATCCCTTTTTTCCCTTTTTTCCCCACTTTATCCCCATTTCCCCCTTTCCCCCCCTTTTCCCAATTTTCCCCATTTTCCCCCATTTCCCCCAATTTTTCTCAAATTTTCCCAATTTTTCCCCATTTTCCCCATTTTTCCCCATTTTTCCCCTCCCACCTCTCCCCGTCCTCCCTCACCTCTCCCCTCCCAAACTTCCCCTCCCTCTCCCGGGACTGCGGCAATTCCTCGGTGGAAATTCCTCCCGATCCCGCCCCGGATCCAGGGATTCTTTGGGAATTCCAGCCCAGCCGGGAATTCCTGCCCAAGATCCCAAACTCCCAAGCTCCCCTTTCCCACTGGGAATTCCATTCCCTGGCTCCTGCCCCTCCAGCCCTTCCCCAAATTCCAGCTCTCCCGGAGCCCCTTGGGGATCGGGAAGCGGCTCCAAGGATTCCCGGGATCCTTCCCTGATCCAGGGGAACATTCCCGGCTCTCCCAGCCCTGGGATTGGATCCGTGCCCGATTCCTGATCCCTGATCCCCGATCCCCAGTTCTCGATCCCTGATCCCCAATCCCTGATCCCTGATTCCAACTCCCTGATCCCCAATCCCCAATTCCCGCTCCCACTCCTGATCCTGTTTTTCTGGGCTGGGTTGCAGGAGGAGGATCCCCACTCCCCGATCCCCACTCCCCGATTCCCAATCCCCAATCCCCAATCCCCGATCCCTGATCCTGTTTCCCGGGCGGTTCCAGGAGGAGGATTCCCACTCCCTGATCCCATTCCTGATCCCATTTTCCCAGGCCGGGTTCCCGGAGGAGGGTTCCCACTCCCCGATCCCTGATCCCATTTTCCCGGGCCGGTTCCAGGAGGAGGATCCCCACTCCCCAATTCCCAATCCCCAATCCCCGATCCCCGATTCCCACTCCCCGATCCCTGATCCCGTTTCCCGGGCCGGGTTCCAGGAGGAGGATTCCCACTCCCCGATCCCCACTCCCTGATCCCCAATCCCGTTTTCCCGGGCCGGTTCCAGGAGGAGGATCCCCACTCCCCGATCCCCGATCCCCACTCCCCAATCCCTGATCCCGTTTTCCGGGCGGTTCCAGGAGGATTCCCACTCCCTGATCCCCAATCCCCAATCCCCGATCCCCGATTCCCACTCCCCAATCCCTGATCCTGTTTTCCGGGCCGGGTTCCAGGAGGAGGATCCCCACTCCCCGATCCCTGATCCCGTTTTCCCGGGCCGGGTTCCAGGAGGAGGATTCCCAGTCTCCGATCCCTGATCCCGTTTCCCGGCCGGTTCCAGGAGGAGGATTCCCACTCCCTGATCCCATTCCTGATCCCATTTTCCCGGGCTGGGTTCCCAGAGGAGGATTCCCACTCCCCGATCCCTNTTCCCACTCCCTGATCCCATTCCTGATCCCATTTTCCCGGGCTGGGTTCCCAGAGGAGGATTCCCACTCCCCGATCCCTGATCCCGTTTCCCGGGCCAGGTTCCAGGAGGAGGATCCCCACTCCCCGATTCCCACTCCCCGATCCCCACTCCCCGATCCCTGATCCCGTTTCCCGGGCGGTTCCAGGAGGAGGATCCCCACTCCCCGATTCCCAATCCCCAGTCCCCGATCCCTGATCCCCACTCCCCGATCCCTGATCCCGTTTCCTGGGCGGTTCCAGGAGGAGGATCCCCACTCCCTGATTCCAAATCCCCGATCCCCACTCCCCGATCCCTGATCCCGTTTTCCCGGGCCGGGTTCCAGGAGGAGGATCCCCACTCCCCAATCCCCACTCCCCGATCCCCACTCCCCGATCCCTGATCCCGTTTCCCAGGCCGGGTTCCCAGAGGAGGATCCCCACTCCCCGATCCCTGATCCCATTCTCCGGGCCGGGTTCCCAGAGGAGGATTCCCACTCCCCGATCCCTGATCCCGTTTTCCGGGCCGGGTTCCAGGAGGAGGATTCCCATTCCCCGATTCCCAATCCCCGATCCCCAATCCCTGATCCCCGATTCCCAATCCCCAATCCCTGATCCCGTTTTCTGGGCGGTTACAGGAGGAGGATCCCCACTCCCTGATCCCCGATTCCCGATCCCTGATCCCATTTTCTGGGCCGGGTTCCCGGAGGAGGATTCCCAGTCCCCGATCCCTGATCCCCGATCCCCAATCCCTGATCCCCACTCCCCGATCCCTGATCCCGTTTCCCGGGCGGTTCCAGGAGGATTCCCACTCCCTGATCCCCGATTCCCAGTCCCTGATCCCGTTTCCCGGGCCAGGTTCCCAGAGGAGGATTCCCACTCCCCAATCCCCGATCCCGTTTCCCGGGCGGTTCCAGGAGGAGGATCCCCACTCCCCGATTCCCAATCCCCGATCCGCACTCCCCGATCCCCACTCCCCGATCCCCGATCACGTTTCCCGGGCGGTTCCAGGAGGAGGATCCCCACTCCCCGATTCCCAATCCCCGATCCCCGATCCCCACTCCCCGATCCCTGATCCCGTTTCCCGGGCGGTCCCAGGAGGAGGATTCCCGATCCCCAATCCCCAATCCCCGATCCCCGATTCCCACTCCCTGATCCCTGATCCCGTTTCCCGGGCGGTTCCAGGAGGAGGATTCCCGATCCCCGATCCCCACTCCCCGATCCCCACTCCCCGATCCCTGATCCCGTTTTCCGGGCGGTTCCAGGAGGAGGAATTCCAGCGGCCGGGCAGCCGGGAGGAGGCGCAGGCGCTGCTGCAGCGGGAGCGGCGGCGCCTGGCGGCGGCGCTGGAGCGGCAGCAGCGCGAGATGCTGCAGGATCACCGCTGGCTCCGGCAGGAGGTCCAGAGCCTGGTCAGCACATTCCCCAAAATTCCCAAACCCTCGGGAACGCGGCGGGCGGGCAACGAGAGGGAATCCCGGCATCTCATCCCGGTTCCAAGCCGGGGGTCCCACCTGGCATTGGATCCATCCCCATCCCGATTCCTCCTGGAGAAGGAATTTCGGGATCCAGGGGTTTCACTGGGAATTCGGGACTCCAGGAAGGGTC